CCGCTGGGATGGTACAAGTTTATATTTTGAATGAGCGATGGGACAGAAACATATTAAAATTACAATACGAAGAAGGAGTACCGATAATCCGGGGGGTGGGGGTCGAACTTGTTCTTTTTTCAAATAAGGAAAATCAAGGTCCGTTCGCATTGAATTGTCAACTCCGCTGTTCCCGCAACCATCCCGCCCACCCACCCGCAATTTGGTTTGCAAAACCCACGCGGCGGCGATTGCGATGGGTGCTTGGTGTTGGCTGGTGCATAACTGCGGCCGCACTCGCCCGCGCATGCTCGCGCGCGCAGCGGCTAGTTAGTTTGGCGCGACCGTCGCGGCCGCGGTGGCGCTGACCGTTGGGCTCTCCCCAGCGGGCTCTTCAGTGCGAGTAAGTGAGTTGGGCGGGCGCGGTATCATGGCAACGTCGACAGCAGTAGACACGATGATGACAGTAGGGATGTTGGCGGCGATGATGCCAAGTACTGCGGAAAAAGGCCACTGGCGGCGCCGATGCTGATCACGCCGATGATGATGACGGCGTCTTCGCGTCGATGGTGTTGGTTGTGGAAGGAGTTCGGCATGCGCGCGCAGTCTACGCGCGGGCATTGCCCGCATGGTATAATTTGACACGGGTCGTGCCCCCCCAGCGCGTGCAAGGGCGTCCAAATGATTCCGACACGTGGTGAAACGCTCCCGCTTGGCAAACCTTAGCGAAACAAGCGCGAAACAGGTTTTTTGGGGGAAGCTTGATGTTGCAACACCATGTTTTTTTTCCCAACCATCCTGTGGTGTCGGGTTTCGTTTTGCAGAGACGGTCCCCGCGTTCGTCTTCCTCGTTTTTCCCCCCTCCCCCCTTCATCCGTCCTCCCGCCACCCCCCTCTTTCACTTTGGCACACCCGTCACACGCTTCGTAGCCCCATAGGGAGCTAGCTCCACCCAAGGCCCCAGTGGCACCGCCCACACGCGTCCGCCACACCCATTTCGGCAAACCCTTAACACGCTTCGTGGCCCTTTAGGTAGCTCCACCGAAAGCGTCAGTGGCACCGTTCACACGCGCCCGCCACACCAATTTCGGCAACCACTCTCACACGTTTCGTGGCCCCATCGGGAGCTCCACCGGCGGCCCCAGTGGCACCATCCACGTGCGTCCGCCACACTTATTTCGGCACGCCCCTCGTCGTTTCGTAGCACCATAGGGAGCTCCACCGGCGGCCCCAGTGGCACCATCCACGTGCGTCCGCCACACTTATTTCGGCACACCCGTCACACGCTTCGTGGCCCCATAGGGAGCTCCACCGAAAACCCCGGTGGCACCGTCCACATGCGTCCGCCGCACCCAAGTCGGCACCCCTCCCATTCGTTTCGTGGCCCCCTAGGAACTCCTCGACGGCCCCAGCAGCACCGTCCACATGCGTCCGCCATACACATGTCGGCACACCCCTCACACGCTTCGTGGCCCCATAGGGAGCTCCACCGAAAGCTCCAGTGGCACCGTCCACATGCGTCCGCCACACCTATTTCGGCACACCCCTCACACGTCTCGTGGCACCATAGGGAGGTCCACCGAAGGTACCAATGGCACCGTCCACATGCGTCCGCACCTCTTTTGGCACATGCCTCACATGCTTCGTGGCCCCGTAGGGAGCTCCACCCAAGGCCCCAATGGCACCGTCCACATGCATCTGCCATTCAAATGTCGGCACACCCCTCACACGTCTCGTGGCACCATAGGGAGCTCCACCCAAGGCCCCAATGGTACGGTCCACATGCGTCCGCCACACCTATTTCGGCACACCCCTCACACGTCTCGTGGCACCATAGGGAAGTCCACCGAAGGTACCAATGCCACCGTCCACATGCGTCCGCACCTCTTTTGGCACATCCCTCACGTGTTTCGTGGCCCCATAGGAAGCTCCACGTCCACATGCATCCGCCATTCAAATGTCGGCACACCCTTCACACGTCTCGTGGCACCATAGGGGGCTCGACCGAAGGCCCCAGTGGCACCGTCCACATGCGTTCGCCACTCCCATTTCGGCACAATCCTCATGCGCTGCGTGGCCCCATCGGGAGCTCCACCTAAGGCCCCACACACCGTCTACATGCATCCGTCATTCAAATTTCGGCAACCACTCTCACACGTTTCGTGGCCCCATCGGGAGCTCCACTGGCGGCCCCAGTGGCACCGACCGCATGCGTCCGCCACAACCACTTCTGCACACCCCTCACACGCTTCGTGGCCCCATAGAGAGCTCCTCCGAAGACCCCAGTGGCACCGTCCACATGCGTCCACCGCGCCCATGTCGGCACACCCCTCAACATGCGCCCGCCGCACCCATGTTACCACACCCCTTACACGTCTCGTGGCCCCATAGAGGGCTCCACCGAAGATGATACTCACGACTGCGGTGCTCACAGCTGCATGTGGTTGTGTCCTTCGCCAGGGTAATTTTATGTTTCCTGGACAGTCGATTTTGAATTCCATGCGACACCAGATACCGGCCTGCGCGCGCGACGACGCGCGAGCGTGCATTTCGCTATTTTTCTTTGCCGGGGATTCTTGCGACAGCACGCGCGCATGGGCGTTCGAGCGATTTCGACATGCGCGCGCGAGAGGCACGTTTGGTAGCATGTAGTGGACATGTTGAAAAACCTATGGCTTCCAGAGGAATTTGCAGGAACGCGAGCGCTGTTTTTTGTGTAGGGTTGCTTGTTGCGCAAACATGTGTGTTTGATTTGTTTCGGTGAGATTCGATTTTTACATCCATGCGACACCGAAGGTTTTCGAAGGATTCCGGCATGCGCACGTGACGACGCGCGCGTGTGTGCATTTCGTCCCATGTTTTGCAACGGGTTTTTGGCAGTTGATGATTTTTGACAAACGGGTGTGCGAACATAGACGACGATGACGATGACCACGGCAAGGCCACTGACGGCGCCGATGCTGATCACGCCGATGACGGTATTGGTGTCGTCCACGTGTCGGTGATGAAAGTTTTGGAAAGATTCCGACATGGACGCGCGACCGACGGGCGCGAGTGGCCTGCGTCTTGTTATTCAACAGAGATCGTGCCCCCTCCCCCCCAGCACGTGCGCAGGCGCGTTCGAATGATTCTGACACGCGCGCGCGAGAGGCCCACTTGGCCGCATGTGATGAACGTGTGGAAACATGCAATGGTTGTCTTTCGAATTCGCAAGAGCGCGCTCTCGTTTTTTTGTTTGTTGTTGTTTTTTGTTTCGGGGCATTCGATGTTGTAATCCTCGCGAACACCAGCGTTTTTTGTTTGAAGCATTTCTTAGTACAAAAGAAAACCAAACAAATTTCGGCATGCGCGCAACGACGCGCGCGTGTGCACATCGCCCAGTTGTGTTGCAAGTCGGTGCGCCCGCACTGTGTTATTTGACGATCGGGAAGGGTCCGGCTCATCTGGGATGATATGAGCTCATATTTCGAATGAGCGATGGGGCAGAATCGCATGTATAGTGTACATCCCCAGTGGGGACCAATAGCCCTGGCCTCGGGGGTTGGTAGATCAGATTTTTTGGGGGCTGTAGTTTTTGTGCAATCTAGGTGGTGTGCAATTTATGCGGTGTGATCTAGGTTGTGCAATCTAGGTTGTGCAATCTACGCGTTGAATTTTACGTTGTGCAAGTTGAGCGGCGACGTGACAACGACGGGGCGGCGACGGCGACAACATTGCCGCCAGACCGACAACGCCGCCCAGACTACGGGCGGCGACGGGGGGGCGACGGCTACAACAGCCGCCAGACCGACAACCCCGCCCAGACGACTGGCGGCGACGAGGCGGCGACGGGGCGGCGACGGCGGCAACATAGCCACAAGACCCCCCCCCAGTTCCTCATTCCAGAGGCAAGAAGCCCCAAGTGCAAACTTGTTTTTTTTGTTGTTTGTTTTTGTTGTTTTTGTTTTGATGTGGTTGTATGTATGTATGTGTATTTATATATATATATATACATACATACATACATTCATAAAGAAAAGCGTAAACAGGAAACAGACGAACACATATATTTTTATGTGGTTTCATTTCGCCCGGGAGCTCATGCCATTTGTTTTACATTGTTTCGTTTCGTTTTTTCCCGCCCTTGAGCCCTAACCGTGTGTGTTGTACGTGGTCTCCGCTCGCCCGTCACCGCAGATCCTGTGTTTCTGTTTGGGGCTCCTCTCGCCCGCGAGCCAAGGCCATGTGCTTTGGCATGGGCGCTCCTTTCGCCCGCGCGCCCAGGCCACGTGTTCTGACATGGGCTCCCTTACGCCCGTGAGCCAGCACTCAAGGGGGGAAAACCACCCCGACCGGACAAGTGGCGTTTACTAAACGGGCCTGGGCGTTTATTAGACGGCCCTGCCCTGTTTGATTCCTTCTGTGGTTGCGTTTACTGGACGGCTTCGCGTGTCGGGGTGGTTTTTATCGGGGTGGATTTTCTGCCCTCTAGCCACTGTTCTCGTTCGTCTTGCTGCACTCCGTCTTGTTTCGGTTCGTCGCGTTTCGGTCTGGCCATGTGCGCGTCGCGTCGGTCTCGGGTCGCTCCCTCTCGGTTTGTACCGCCTCGGAATTGAAGCAGATCTTGAGCGCGAGGTGGTCGAGCGCCCTGAGCGTCTCGACTGCAATCAGCTCGAACAGCACAGCCCCTGGCACAGCACATCAGCATCGATACCTTCAGAATTGCAATTGCCCGTCGCCCGATGTGCGCGTCTTGAAAACACTTCCACGCATAACATTTTTGTATCCCTTTCTCGGTTCGTGGCTCGATCGTGCTAAATCTGCCCGTGGGCCTGGTGAGGCCTCACAGAGGCCGAATCTGACCTGAAATTTCTCGTCGTCGTCGTCCTCCTCCTCCTCCTCCTCCTCGGCTCGTCCTCCTCTTCCTCCTGCTCGTCGTTCTCTTCATCCGCTCTCGACGGGCGAGCCTCCTCCTCCCCCTCCTCTTCCTCCTCCTCGTCCTCCTCCTCCTCGTCTCCAGCCCTGGCCAGCGGCGCTTTCAGGACAGCGACTCCGAGGGCGAGGAAAAGCAGCTTGCGGAGAAGAAGGCGCTCCCCCCCCCAGCCTCCCCAGAGATCCAGCGTCGCAGACGACACAAAAATACCTAGACCCCATCTCTCCGCGGCATCTCTTGAGCCAGATCGATCCCCTCCGACCCCACCTCTCGGGGGCAACGATCGTGGGGTGGATAGGCCCGGGAGGGATTCATCGGCCTCGAACGGTTGATCCATCGACGATTGATCGACGATGCATCGTTGATACCAGAGCGATGCGTCGACGATGTATAGACGATACGTGGGGCGGCCTGCATCGAGCAGGTATCGACGATGCAAGCTTTCGTGCCAAGCCGCATGCCCTATCCCGTCTGGGCGCCAGCGGCGTGCCGTTGCACAGCGGCGCCCCGCACCAGGCCCCAGTTCCGTGACGCGCCCGGCCCGTGGGGCGGGGCGTGCGCGCAGAGTCCGCCGACCCCGCGTGCGGGAGACAGAGTTCCTCGCAGTTAGTCAGACCCGCCGGTGCCCGCGTGCAGTTCCCTTTCCTCCTCGTTCTCTAGCCCGTGGCATTTTTGTTCCCAGTTTTCCCCCAGTGTGCTAGTCGCCGTGTCTCCCGACAGATCCCGGCGCCCGCCGGGCAACCATGAGGGTTGCGATTGGGCTTCCTCCCGCCCCCTCCCCTCCTCCTTCCCCTCCTCCTTCCATCTTTACTGTGTCATCCTCGCTCACGTCGAGCCAGCCCTAGACACGATGAGGACCAGGGGAGGTGTCTTATCTGTGGCTTTTGCAATGCCGCTTCATGGCGTGGTTGCTCTGCCTTCTCCGCTGTTCACTGCATGGTCTTGCCTATTGCAGATCGGTCCATGAAGCGTTCACTCCTCTGCCCGTGCCTAGGCCAGGGACACTGCCTTTGTCGGGGCTTCGTTTGATTCCTGATGTCGGGGCCATGAGTTCCCTCTCCCGTCCTCCTCTCCTCCCTCGGTCCCCTCTCTCTGCTTCCTCTCCCCTTCCTCGGCCACGTTCGCGGGACCACCCATCTTGAATTGTCGGGCCGCTTCTCGGCATCTCTGGCGTTTCATCTCCTCTCGATAGCACGGGGTATCTAAATTAGCTCTGAGGTGTATCGCAGGCTTCGCGGAGGTGTTCGTGTGGAGGCGTCCGCATTCGTCCCCTCAGCTTCCCTCCGGGGCCTCGCCTTCGGCTCGTCTCGTCCTCGGCGGAGGCTGGCGGAGGGCCAGCGGAAGGTCACCAGTGGTGGGCCCGCTGTCTCAAGCGGGCGGACGTCGCCATGGGGGAAGCGGGTCCTGAGGGAAACGGGTCCCTGAGGAGGTGCTTCACGGTTTTCGGGCTTCGGGGGCCCTCCACGGGCCCCGGGGTTGTCCGAAAATTGTTCAGGATGAAGAGCTCGTCCTGGGGGAAGGCCCCTGGCGCCTAGGACCCGTGTCCCTCGGGACCGGTTTCCCCCGTGCTAAGGCGGAAGCCTAATCGGGAAGCAGACAATGGCATAAACACGGAGGTCCACGCAGATTTCTAGGATCGGCGCTGGGGCCCACTGGTGGCGCCTCTGGCGCTGCCCCTGGCGCGTTTCCGGCCCAGGGAGGTGGGTTCAGTGCAAGTCCAAGGAGTCCGCGCGGACCTCCGACAGTTTGTGTGCTATACACTTCTTTGGTTCTTTTAGCGAAGCCGTTGTGGATCCAGGGTTTCTGGAGTCGGTCACTTGTCGTCGAGAACAATAAAACCCCTAACCCTAGTACCACAATGGAGACGCAGCCTAGCTCAGGCCCCCGTGCCTGCATCAGGGATAACATGTCTGGGTCGCTTGATACATCTGCAGAACAGTCCCCCTATTTCTAATGTTTTGGGGCCTCCTACTGAGGTCCGCTCCCGCAGGGTTAGGGAACCCTGCAATTGCTAATCACCTGGGGAGGTCTCCAGTTCCACAGACCTCTGTCGTCGCGGCTTCTCTCATCACGTGGGCTCCGCCGCACTGGCTTCTCCTCCCGGGCCGCTCTCTGACGGTCTCGGGGCCGGGCGAGGGCCGCCCCTCGAGGCCGAACACGGCCACGAGCCAGAAGAGCAAGAGGTCACGATGATGTTACACACCAGTCTTTGAAAGCAGGTACTTCTGGAGTCCCAGATCCTGGTCTACCTCTAGAGCCAACATGCTGTTTGCTTTGTTCTGTGATTCCCAGGCAGGGCCGAAACCCAGTCTACTTCATCCGCCTTCCTGCTCCACATTTTTACCCACTTCTTCCGACCCGCGGACAGTGATGCGTTCCAGTATTTCCAAGGTCCCCACTGCTTTCAGGATGTTCCTACTGTTCCGCACTGGCTGCGCCACTAGTTTGGGGAGGGGGTTTTCCAGGAGGGGTCCCCCGGTGGCTTCGCACCCTCTGTTTTGACGAGTTTCCGAGGCCCCTGGGGGGCTCTTTGGAAAAACCCCTGCCAAAAACTCGGAACCCTCCAAGAATGTGTCCTGACCCAGTCTGATCATGACGCCATTCTCGCCCTCAAGAGCCCTCCGCTCGCGACGGGAGGAGGTCAGGGCCTAATTATGGTGCTCCAGCCTACTTCAGCCTCGAACACCAAGGAAAGCACCGAAGCTCGAGGGTTTTCACGTGCCGGGCCCTGGGAGGCACTCGTTCGACACTGCCTCGGTACTCTTTCGACACTTTCCCGAGTGCTCGAAATTCTCTCTGGGACGTGTGTGGTCCTTGAGTGCGATGGGAGTAACATACAGTCAACCCGCATAGTAAGGACGGGCAACCTTCCCAAGGGTACCCTTGCATCCTTGCCTCCTCGGTGCATCCTTGGCCGCTTTGGTCGGCCGCGCCCCGCTCGAAAAGCTTCGAAATGGGCGCCCAAGGGCCTTGCATCCTTATCGCGCATCCTTATTATACTCAAGTGGGACCTGTCCCTCTACAGGGGGAATATTCAAAAATAGTACGAAAAAAATAGCCTGGGGATTATGCTTTCAATATGTTGGGGCATCTTTGGAGCAATATATATATATATATATATATATATACACATACATATGTGTATATATCTATATATTTCGTCCAAAAGCCCCCTGTAGGGGGACAGACCCGACCTAATACTATACGGGTTGACTGTACTGGGCCCCACTTCTGGGCCCCGGGGGGCGCCGCTCCGAGACGACGGTCATGCGGGTGCAGAACCGGCTGCAGCAGGCCTACGCCCGGCAGCTCGAGGCCGGCACCAGGAGCGCGCGCCGCGCCTCGCCCTGCCGGCGTGCAGCTGCGTCGTGGTCTCGCAGAGGCTCCTTGTAAGTGAGCCTCGGCGAGACAATGGCGCAGACCATGCCTCCCCAGACATGATCGCGTCGTTAAAAAAATCAGGACGGGAAGTTTTTGGCTATTTTTGGCCCTGGGGAGGCCTCGCCGGGCCTCGGGACCGTCAAAAAACGACTCCAGACGGAAAACCGTTCCCGGGGAAAGGGTCGGGACTTCCAGGGACGCCGTCCTGAAAAAATCAGGACGTCGCATGTCTGGGTCTGGAATAGATGATGTATTCTGGAATACAGTCGGCCCAGATTAGTAGGTCGACCCTGCCAGCTCAAGGGTACCCTTGTGTCCTGTGCCTCGCGACACGCGCCTTTTTACTCCAGTGGCGATGTGTCCCTCGGCAGGGTCTTGTGTCCTCTCGCGTGTCCTGTCCAATCAAGGCCGACTGTGAATGACTTACTCCCCAACCAGTACTTGCACTGAAGGGGTCCTCGCGGAAATGGAAAGGTGTGGCGAAGGTGTCCCGCCGATGTTGGTGGCCGGCTGGGTTCCCAGGTTCCCCGTGCGGGGTTCCCGGGTTCTTGGGCATTGGTTCCGGGCCGATTTCAGTGGGTTCCGGGTTCCCGGGTTCCCGGTCGATCTCCTTATCGATCTCTTTATCGATTCCATTTCAAGCCATCCACTGATTGGAGTTTTTTCTCTGGTGTAATGAGACCCGATGCAGTGCACCTCAAGTCTCACAACAGCGGGGGTGGGGTCAAACAAGTGTTTGACAGCGCGTCTGGGAACATTCCCAAGAGCGGTGCAACAACGGGTCCAACGTCGAGACCCCCCCACAACCCTGCTTGACGAGGCCCGTCAGACACCCCCCGGTATTCGTTATGAGATCTGGGTAGGTACCCTCGTCTGCCCAAATTGCATTTCTTTTTGCCGCTTGGCCACCTGGTGATATTAGGTTTTCGGCTCCCGTGTTCATGCTGCTTCGCATGTGTGGCCCATGTGGCTAAGGCCCTTGGGCGGCTTGCGACACCTTTTCTGCGCATAAAGGGTCCACTTGCAAACTAGATGCAGCAGGACTCTTAGTAGTACTTGTATTAGATTGGTATGTATACTGTTGCATTTTGTTACTTGTTCCACCCTGGTACGAGTTGTGGACCGCAGTCGCATTCGCATTCGAATAATAGTCTTTAACTGTGCTCGAGTAGTAACTGCATGTGTCCATGTCATGTGTTACACACATGTCACCCTGGACATCCAATCGGCCACCGCTAATTAAAAGTCTTTAGGCTACAATGGCGACCCTTCCTGCTGTGGACAATGCTACGCTCGCCGCCTGCGCGGCGTCGTGCGCTGAACACATTCTTCGACTACGATAAATCGGAGGTCTCGCGACTGTGCGTTGGTTGTTCTGTGTTCCGCTGGGCTCGCACTTGTGCAGTGGTTGTTTCTGTGTTCCGATGAGCTTGTGCCTGCGCGTTTGCTGTTCTGTGTTTCGATGGGCTCACGCTTGCGCGTTTATGGTTCTGTTCTGCGTTCCGATGGGCTCGCGCCTGTGGGTTGGTTGTTATGTGTCCCCGTGGGCTCGCGCCTGCGCTTTTTTTTTTGTTTCTGCGCTCCGATGGGCCCGCGCCTGCGTGTATGCTGTCTTGCCTGTCGATGGGCTCGCGTTTGTGCGGTGGGCGTGCTGTGCTCCTACGCACTCGGCGCGCGAAGCGCGCTGGACTGTCTACAGCATGTGCAGTTTGGCGCACGAAGCGCGGCGAACTGGCTCACAGTGGTCACAGCTCGGAGCGCGACGCGCGCTAAACGGATGATAAGATTTACAGTTCGGCGCGCGAAGCGCGCTAAATTGCCTTGCAATAGTTTAGAGGTCGACGCCGCGAAGCACGCGAAGCCCGAATGTAAGTCACAGGCGGCCGTCGTCGGGATTGCCCTGCCCTGTGGGGGGAGGCCAGTCTCGGGGCGCATCTTGCGCGGAGCTTGATTTTTTGTTGATGCGGAACGGCGCGCCAAAGATACGTGGCAAACAAGTCATGCGACGCAGTGAACAGTCCATAACAATATGTCATAACAACCTGTCAAAAACGAAGCGGCGAAGTGCGCCAACAACACTGCGGAAAGTTGCGCCGCGTTCCGAGGAATGTGGCGGAAACAATGCACAATTTGCACCCCTGGCGGCGAAGACCGAACAGGACCACAAACGCCGCGCAAAAAACAAAAGGGACAGAATAACCAGAGAAGGACCAGAAAGGACGAAAAGGACCAAGAGGGAACGAAAGGGCCAAATGGACAAGGATTGAAGGACCAAAAGGGCCAAGGGATCCAAAGGACCAAACGGACCAAAAGGACAAACTTGACCAACAGGACCAACAAGAGCAAAAGGACCACCAGGACTCAAAGTACCAAAAGGACCAAAAGGACCACCATGGCCACAAGGGACCAACATGACCAAAAGGGACCAAACGGATTGAAAGGGACCAAAAGGATCAAATTGAGACCAAAAGGACCAAACGGACCAGAAGGGCCAAACTGGCCAAAAGGGCCCCAATGACCAAAAGGACCAACATAATCAAAAGGATGTCTTGCCCGCGGCCTATTCCAACCAATTCCGGCCAATTTGGTAGAATTCGGTTAAATTTACAATTCTGTTTAAATGTGTGCTCAAGCTTGTTAGAGTTCTTTAATAATTCGGTTAGGTTGTCGTTCGCATTCTATTCGGATGTTGTTAATTGTGTTCGGATTTGGCACGACTGTCTGATGCATGGTGATGCAGGGCGGTGCAGGGTAGGTGATAGGAAGGTCGATGCAGGGCAGTTCAGAAGCTATTGACGACGTATGATCATGTTGGTCCTTTTGGCTCTTTTGGCAGTTTTTGGCTTTTGGGTCATCCAGGCATTTTTGGACCTGTTGGTTCTTTTTGACCCTTTGTTTTTTGTTTGTCCTTTTGGTCGTTTTGGTCCTTTGGTCCTTGGTCGTTTTGGTCCTTTTTGGTCCTTCTGGTCCCTTCTGGTCCTGTTGGTCCTGTTGGTCCCTTGGGCAATGTTTTGTGATTGTTTGTCCTTTTGGTCCGTTCAGTCCGTTTGGTCAGTTTTGGTCCTTTTGGTTCTTTTGGTTCTGTTGGTCATTTGGATTTTCTTTTGGTTGTTTTGGCCCTCTTTGGTCCTTTTTGGACTTGTCCTTTTGGTCCTTTTGGTCCTTTCGGTCATTGGTCCTGTTTGTCCCTGTGGTCCTGTCTGGCCCTATCTGGTCCTTGTGGCCCTTTTGCTATTTGCTTGGTTTTCATTGCCCTGTTCGGTCTTCGCCACCAGAGGGATGGATGTTGCATTTAGTCCCGCGCATTCCGCAGAGCGCGGCGCAACTCTTCGTTGTTCCCCAGCTTATCTTTTTCCAGCCCGTAACCTTCGTTATGCAATTTCTCCCGTGCTGTTCAATTCGCCGCATGACTTGTTTGCCACGTGTCCTTAGCGCGCTGTTCTGCATAAGCAGAAAAGAAGCACGCTCTGCGCGAGGGACGCCCTACGCCCGGACCGCCCAGAGGACCGGGGTTCCCTGGCGACGGCCGCTTGTGATTGACAGTCAAGCTTAGCGCGATTCACGGCGTCGAAGTGTATATATATGTATATGTATGTATGCATATGTATGTATATATATATATATATATATATATATATTCTACACAGTTTAGCGCGCTTCGCGCGCGCTCTTCGCGTGCAGAATTGCAGATGAATCGTCGTGGCGCGCTTCGCGCGTCCAATTTTCGCAATTGTAAAGCACCGTGGCGCGCCTCACGCGCCGAATCGTAAATCTTATTATCCGTTTCGCGCGCTTGGCGCTCCGAGCTTTGACTATTATGAACCAGTGTGCCGCGATTTGTCTGCCGAGCTGTATATGTATGTATATACATATATATATATATATATATATATGTGTACCTGTGTGTATATATATATAAGTATGTATGTGTGTATGTATGTATGCATGTATGTGTATGTATATGTAAATTGCAAACAGTCTAGCGCGTTGCACGCGCCGAGTACTCAGGAACACGACATACCCACCGCACAAGCGCGAACCCATCGAAAGGCAAGACAACACACGCGCAGGCGCGGGCCCATCGGAACGCAGAGCAATCGACGCGCAGGCGCGAGCCCATCGGCGACATACATAGCACACCGCGCACTAGGGCAAGCCCATTGGAACACAGAACAGAACAACAAGCGCGCAGGCGCAAACCCATCGGAACATAGAACAACAAGCGCGCAGGCGCGAGCCAACCGAAACACATGAACAACCAGCGCTCAAATGCGATCCGATCGGAGCACAGAACAAGTAACGCACAGGCGCGAGCCCACCGACTTATCACACGTCTATCAACTGGAGCAGCGCACGACGCGAGTGCGCGCGCTGGCGGTGATTTCCGCAGTGTCCACAACAGGAAGTGTCGCCAATGTGGCCTGGGAGCTTGAATTTGCTGATAGCGGTGGCAACTCTGCTACTCAAGATCACAATACATGTACTTGAGAAGCATTAGTATTAGGGTGCAGCTATTACCAGAAACAATTAATACTGCAGTCAAACTGCGACTGCGGACCACAACTTGTACCAGAGTAGGTCTAATGGAGTGTTGTTGCGCTGCACATGCGGTCTGGACTCTCGCACTTTTGATTCCCTGGTTGCGCCAGGGGGTGGTGGAACCCCGCTTGCGAGCCCCCCGGCCGCTGAATGTGCACTCCTCTTATGAATGCTGAGGCAGGGGTTGCCCCCGTCATCGATCCCCCTACCAAGGAGTCAATCTTCGCAGTTGAGCAATATAACATTCGCTCTTTCTCTTCAATCTTCTCTTCATCATACTTTGCTGACGTTACGTGCTTCCTTTGATTGGGGCGCCCAGTTCGGCCCCTGCGAAGTCATGTCATGTTAGGTCTTAGGTCTGGGATCTTGAATAGTCCCCTCCCATCGATTTCAGCCAAACGCGTGCTAAACTTTTTTAGGCCCTGTCGAGTCCCTGGTAAGTCCAGCTGAAGACGTTTTAGGTCATGCTATGTCCTGCGACGTCTTGTTATGTCATGGAAGGTGCACGGGCGCCTCAGCATCACCACCTGAAACATTATGCTGAATTTCTGCCGGGAAATTCGAAACAGTCAGAGTTGTAAGAATCGATCCGCAAATACACGAACGATTGCGTTTGTCAACATGATACACAACTGCATCGACGCGCAACTCGTGCATCCAGCGCGCAAACTAGTGCATGCAGGCGCTAACAAGTGCATATACTATTGCACCTCTCCCTGCAGACCCACCCGAGCCAGTACTTGGGATCAAATGCTCCCGACGCGAAAAGAAACACGACGGGAGGTTTTTGGGCGTTTTCGGCGTCCGGGGGCCCTTGTTGGGACTGTCCGCTGTCTACAGCAATGCCCGGGATGCAAAACCAGTCCCGGGGAACGGGTTTAGATGTTCGGGGTCCACGTTGCGAAACAAACCAAAAAACACGATGCCAGAGACTCGGGCTCTTGCATGGATCCCTTGCGTGTAATTGTTTCTTCCAGTTTTCTGGCACGGCCTCAAACTATTCAGCCCCAGCGGTCAAGCGTGCCAGCGAGCGAAGAGGGGGAGGTGCAGGGGCTGCAGTGGGAGCGCGAGGGGAACGAGGCAGAGGGGGATCGGGGAGGTAGACGGGCATATGATAAGGCGGAGGCGGAGGCGGAGGCGGGGGCGGAGGCGGAGGAGGAGGAGGAGGATGAGGAGTAGGCAGGCGGAGGAGGAAGGCGGCCGCTGGTTGGTTGCTGGTTGTTTGGTTGCAAGGCGCGCTTGCCCGTCGCTGGCCAGCCGCCACGCTTGGGGGACCGGTGCATCGCACTGGGGGCTTGCGCCGGCACGCGACCAGTGAGCGCCCGGGTTGCGCCCCCCCCACCGCAGGAGGAGGAGGACGTCGGGGGGAGGAGGAGGAGGAGGAGGAGGAGGAGGAGAGGAGGAGGAGGAGGACACAAACAATAGTACTAATATTAAGCACAGGAGGAGGAGGGAGGAGGAGGAGGAGGAGGAGGAGGAGGAGGAGGAGGAGGAGGAGGAGGAGGAGGAGGAGGAGGAGGAGAAGCAGGAGCAGGAGCAGGAGGAGGAGGAGCAGGAGGAGCAGGAGGAGGTCGGTGGTTGGAGGAGGAGGAGGAGGAGGAGGACGAGGAGGAGGAGGAGGACGAGGAGGAAATTTCTGTTAACACGGCAATTACTGGCGAGCTGATGGGTGCACCAGTTGGAAACCATTGACCTTGGCAGTGGCTAGCGCGGAAACGCAAGCCCAAAATACTGCCAGGAAACTAATCGGAGTCGCTAGGCTCCGCGAGGAAAACGCGGGCAACAAAAACCAATTGCCTCTCGTCGTCCTCACGCAGGAGCGCCTCTTGCACCTCCTGCGACTGCTGCCGCTCCTCGTCAGGCTCGACTTCTCGAGCCTCAGAAACTCCGGGCGACATCTCGATACCCACCTTGCCTAGCTGTGGGTGTCGTCCCTCCAAAATTCGGTACGTCCATCTCCCAATATTGTTGCGTGTCTGCTGCTGGCATCCTCGAGCTAGCAAGGCCAAGGGGCCCAGAGTCGAGACAGCCTTACACCGCACGCACACATAAAGCGGCGAGTCGTCGCTGCAATCGAAACTTAGGAGCCTCTGTCCTTTCGCTTTGACCTGCAGCAACGCCTCTGGCACCGAGCCCGAGCAGCCTTGTGTAGGCGGCGCCGACCTCTCTTGCCCAGAATGAGCACACCTGGTCTGCGGACCTTCAAACTGGTGCTGCATCTCCAGTCTGTGCGGCACCACTCCCACTCGTGTTGGACCCCAAGGGCCTGGGGCTTCTGGGCCTCGGGCTCCCGACGGGTCCTCAGGTAGCCGTGGAGGTCCAGGGAGGGCCAGAGGGGCACAGGGGCAACAGACGGGCCGCGAGGAGACACACAGCTCTAGGCACTTTCACTTGGCGGTCTACCTCCTCCAGGTCTTCTTTCGATCCTGAACTGAAGGGTGTTGTGCAAGCAGCCCCTGTCGGGCCGCACTGTCAGCTGCATCGTTACCGAATTTCCCCAGCGCTGGCTCTGGGTTAAATCAGGACTGCCGGCAGCTTGGGCTTTAATTTTCTTGACCGAGTTCAGAAGGCTAGAGCGTGGCATCACAATGGTACCCGCATGATTTTTCTTATACGAGAACCTGGCCCCTTGGATGGAACGCGAACGTGTTCACCACATTCGCGCAGTCCAAACATCCTTCAGAGGGGAGTCTGAGATTCTGAGCAAACATGGCTAGGGTTCCAAACTCCCCCGCTTGTGGGGTCTGTGGGGGAGGAGCCCGAATAGGCCCAAACACCGAGCAGGTCTCCTCCTGAGCTCCTGGGGAAAAGTGTACAAGGAGGAGGAGGAGGAGGAGGAGGAGGAGGAGGATAAGGAAGAGGAGGAGGAGGAGGAGGAGGAGGAGGAGGAGGAGGAGGAGGAAGGAGGAGGAGGAGGGAGGTCGGGGAGGAGGAGAGGGAGGAGGAGGAGGAGGAGGAGGAGGAGGAGGAGGAGGAGGAGGAGGAGGAGGAGGAGGAGGAGGAGGAGGAGGAGGAGGAGGAGGAGGAGGAGGAGGAGGAGGAGGAGGAGGAGGAGGAGGAGGAGGAGGAGGAGGAGGAGGAGGAGGAGGGAGGAGGGAGGAGGAGGAGGAGGAGGAGGAGGAGGAGGAGGAGGAGGAGGAGGAGGAGGAGGAGGAGGAGGAGGAGGAGGAGGAGGAGGAGGAGGAGGAGGATAAGGAAGAGGAGGAGGAGGAGGACGAGGTCGGGGGGAGGAGGACTGCAACGGTCATGCTGATGGGGAGGGGGCAACTTGGGAGACTGGGAGAGGGAAGGGGGGATACTTCTGCTGCTGAAGACGATGAACATGATTTTGAGGAGGAGGAGGAAGAGGAGGAGGAGGAGGAGAAGGCCGACGACGAGGATGGGGATGCTGTTTGTGATGATGATATCTGTGGTGGTGATGGTTGTTATGATGATGGTGTGATGGTGGTGATGGTGAGGACGGGGAGGAGGATGATGGTGATAGTGATGATGAAGATGAGGATGGCGATGGTGATGCTGATGATGATGGATCTGATGATGGCTATGAGGGTGATGGCGATGATGATGGCGATGGTGATTGCGACGACGGTGATGATGGTGATGCTGGTGATGATGATGGTGATTGACGCTACTTGTGGTGAGGATGATGATGACGACGATGATGATGATTAGGATGTCGGAAAAGAAGGTGGTGGTCGTCATTGTGCTGAGGAGGGATGTGAGGAAGAATAATGAGGAGGAGGAGCAGGAGGAGGTGACACATGGGGGAGGAGGACGACGAGGAGGAACATGTGGAGTAGGAGGAGGAGGATAGTGGGGAGGAGAGAGATAAGGAGGAGGAGGAGAAGGAGGAGGAGGACGATGAGGAGGAAGAGGGGGAGAAGGAGGAGGAGAATAGGGGGGGGGGATGGGGTGAGGAGGAGGAGGAGGAAGAGGAGGAGGAGGAGGAGGTGGAGGTGGAGGATCAGAGTAAACCGAAGAGTCATCAAAGATGTTGACAGAAACCCTCGTACCAAGATGCCTCTTCATAGGCCCCTTGTAAGGGTTCATTTCCATTGAGGGAACTACCTCGTTGGAAGACGACCGTTTGAAGACCCTGAAGCATGCCAGAAGAATAGTCTCAGGACTTCAACGCCACGGATCAACCTGACTGTTGTGTCTTGACGATCCCGAATCGCGCCAGAACGCCATCCTTGGGACTCCAGCGCCGCGAATAAACGTAGCTGTTGTGCCTTCATAATCTGGAATCTTCCCTTCATAGCACCATTTCTGGTACATTGACCGTTGGAACCCGACAGATTCTTGCAACTTCTACAAAAAGAAATGTTACGCGGCGATCAGGCGAGAGCCACATCTTGAAAACGAGCCGCCCTCAATCCGATAATTTTTTGTTTTTGTTGAGCGAATGTGCACGGCGCTACGGCGAGAGCCACATCTTGAAAACGCCCCCCAAAACCGTGAAACACTAGCAAATGTTTGATAGGAATGTGCGCGGCGCTAATGCGAGAGCCACAGTTTGAAAACGACCCGCCCTGAATCCGAGAAGCTCTTGCAAATGTTCAAGACACATGTGCGCGGCGCTTTGGCGAGACCACATTTTGAAACCACCTGCCTTCATGTGCGAAACGGTTGCCAATCATTCAGCTCCAGGGTCATACATGGTGAGGAAACCTCGGTCGAATCGCCCGGCCCGCTCTTTCGCCCGGTCTCGGGGTGCGACAGGGAGGAGGAGGAGGAGGAGGAGGAGGAGGAGGAGGAGGAGGAGGAGGAGGTGGAGGTGGAGGTGGAGGTGGAGGAGTAGGAGGATGGCGGTGGGCGGGGGCGGGTCACGGAGAGCGTCGGCATCGAGTGTGCATGAGTCGGGCCCGGCCAGCGTACCTCCTTTTGCCCAGAGTATGGAGCTGCCGTGGCACAGCCAAAAAATATCTGCAGCGTCTGGCGATGGGAGTATACGAAGGACAGGAAGGACAAGCAGTGGCCCCCGCGCTACCGTGCGGTGGTGTGCGCCGCAGCGGCCGGCCTCGCAGTCTGCGGCATTCTCCTTGGGGGGCCTGCACATCTGTGCGTCGTGTTCCTTGTGCAGCGAGGACCAACCTCCAGACAGACACCCAACGTCCTGAAAGCATCACGGTGGCATTTTTTGTTGGTTTCGGCCGATTGGGGCCCCCGGCGGACTCTGGGACCGTCCAGAAACGACTCGGGGTGAAAAGCTGGTCCCAGGGAGGGGCTCCCGACCTCGGGGCACCAACGCTGTGACACCGATCGCGACGTCAGAGACCTGGGAACGTTGATCTCCAGAGGTCTGGACTTCCTTTTTCCGCGGTCGGCTCTCCCTCCCGAGACTTTCTGTTGGCGGTCCCCGGAGGCCGACAGCGGGGAGCAACCGAGCAGCTTCCCGCCAGAATTCTTCACGACGGTGGAAGGTCTGGGCACGTGCGCCGGGAAGTAAAGAATCACATGCCGTGGCCGGCCTGGACGAGAGGTGGAAACTCAGCGCCACCGAGGCGGGAACGCAGTAACAGCGACGTCGGCAGCGTGCAGACGCGTGGCAGGAGCGTGCCAGGAGAGTGCCGCTGTGGCGCAGGACGGGGTAGGAAAGCGGCAGGGAAGTGCCAACTTCCTGCGTTGCCGAACGCCCCCGTCTACAGAGCACCGGGGAGGGCTGCGTGCACGCGTGTGGCAGCACAACTTCCCGCCGCTCAGTCCCCGCATGGCTCGGGCAAAGAGGAATGAGACATGACACAAGCATAAGAACATACGAACTCGGAGCTCCGTGCGGATTTCTCGGATCGGCGCTGGGCCTTCGCATGGCCCGGGCCCGCCCGCATACGAATGCAGCATGCACCACCCCCAGACATCCGACGTCGCGTTTTTTTCGAGACGTGGGCCCCCGACCTCCCGACCACTTCCCCGGGGCCGGTTTTTCATCCCGAGTCGTTTTTTGACGGTCCCGAGGCCCGGCGAGGGCCCCGAGGGACCGAAAACGACGAAACAAATTCGTCTCGATTTTTTCGAGACGCCCGATGTCTGGGCCGCATGCTCCGCCCGGTAATTACGTCTCTTGCCTCCGCCTGGGGCACTGAGCCCACTGCTCTGGCGGTCCCAGTAGGCCTTCGTCGATCCTCGGAGGCCCTCTGGCTTCGGGGCGTCTGCATCAGAGCACGGAGAGGCACCCAATCGCTACCCTTGAGTCGGGCGTGTCCCTCTACAGGAGGAGCATGCAATTACACCTGAGAAAACCCAGTCAGTGAATGATTTGAACATTGATGCTATGGATCTTGAGATCGATTGTGAGATCGATCATGAGGTCGATAGTGGAACCGATGGTAACGACGATTGTAAGGTCGATCATTAGACCGAGAGTAATCGATACAATGAGATCGACAGTGAGATCAATCGTGAGATCGCTCATGCGATCTCTAGTGAGATTGATAGTGAGATCGATTGTGAGATCGATGGTGAGATCGATCGAGAAGTCGGTGACGAGATCGATGGTGAGACCGATCGATAAGAAGATCGACCAGGAACCCGGGAACCCGGGAACCTCGCCGCCCTCCGAAGTCGGCCCGGAATCCGGAACTGGGAGCCCGGGAACCCGGAAACGGGAACCCGGGAACCCGGGAACCCAGCGTGCGACCAAAATCGGCGGGGCACTGTCGCCAAATCCTTCAACATCCGCGAGGACCTCTTCAGTGCAAGCACCGACTGGGGAAAAATAGTTACAACAGACAGTATCTACAGGAACGATTTTTCGAGTATCATTCGACTATGTTCGAATCTTTTTTTGGGTGCTTTACCCCATATCCAGAGTGGGGTCCTTGTTTTCTCGGGACATCCCGCGCAGGAACAGGAACACCCTCCCTTCTTACATCACACACACACATCATCATCATCACCATCATCATCATAATCATGATCATCATAATCATCATCATCATCATCATCATCATCATCATCATCATCATCATCATCATCGCCATCGCCATCAAAATCATCACCGCATCATCACCACTTACACATTCGCACACACTCTCATTCTCCAACTCACTCACTCACAACTACCACTCACCATCATCAGCATCATCATCATCATCATCAACATCAGCATCATCATCATCATTATCATCATCATCGGCATCATCATTATCACAACACCGTCGTCAACAGAGCTTCGTCTGTGAGTTAATTGTGAGGAAGTCTCAGGTGGGAGCCCTCTCCCTATGGGGCCCGCCGCTCTTTTTTGAAAACTATCCGAGCGGGTCATCGGGATCTTGTAAGTGTCGTCACTTTTGGGCCCCTGAGGCCTGGATATGGAGGACGTTTCAGGCAGGAGCCTCGTCTGCGAGTGAATTGCGAGGAAGTTTCAGGCGGAGCCCTCTCCCTATGGGACCCGCCGCTCACGCTTTTTTTATCCGAGCGGGTCATCGGGATCCTGTAAGTGTCGTCACTATTGGGCCTCTGAGGCCTGGGTATGGAGGAAATATCAGGCGGGAGCCTCGTCTGTGAGTGACTTGCGAGAAAGTCTCAGGCGGGAGCCCTGTCTCTATGGGGCCCGCCGCTCACGTTTTTAATCCGAGCGGGTCATAGGGATCTTGTAAGTGACTTGTAAGTGTCGTCACTTTTGGGCCCATGAGGCCTGGATATGGAGGACGTTTCAGGCGGGAGCCTCGTCTGTGAGTGAATTGCGAGGAATACTCAGGCGCGAATCCTCTCCCTATGGGGCCCGCCGCTCATGTTTTTGTTGAACCCGAGCGGGCCATCGGGATCCTGTAAGCGTCGTCGCTTTGGGGCCCCTGAGGCCTGGAAATGGAGGAAGTATCAGGCGGGTTGCGACTGCGCCGTACATCGCGCTGGACCTTCGCGCGTGCCCTGGAAGCAATGACACGCACGACGTGCAGGAGTGCACGTACAAACGGCCGCACCACCACTTCGGGTGCGTCCCCATCGCGTTGCACCTCGGCGATTTCATGCAGCTGAAGCCCACGGGCAGCATCGGCCTCCTGACGGACGTGAGCGAGCTCCTCGACGACGGGTCCTGCAAGTGCGCGGAGCCGCCGACGGTGGACATTCAGCACGCCATCGACGTCTTCTCTCATCTCCTGCGTCTTCGAGCGGAAAGGCACGAAGCGCTTCGAACCTGGGGGCCCTCTGATCACGCTCTTTGGCTGCACGCGCGAGGGCGAGCCCTTCCGCCAGAGGTCTGGTCCGCCTGGGAAGCGACGCTGGCCTCAGGCAGCCGCGGCGCCCTGGCCCTTCGGCACCGGCGCGAGAACTGTCGGCCCGGCTACGGCATGGGCACCTACTGGGAGACACCGACGAGGCGGATCAACGCGCGCGCTCGTCGCGACGCGCGGCGCCTGGGCGTGCCTCTCGTTTTTTCGAAGGCCGCGGACGAGCGCAGCGCGATTCAGGGCGATCCCGACGCGGGCCGGCGCCTCCTGAACGTCCCGAACACGCACAAGACGGGGGACATCCACGGCGCCTCGCCGGCCCAAGTCGGCGCGGAGGTGCGATTCTCGGCAGTTCAGGGGGCCGGAGAAGAAGTTGGGGCTCGCGCAGGAGCAGCGGGCCTTCATCGCGTCCTTCGAGTTTCATCCCGAGGACGAGCGGCGGTGCGAGGAGAGCTCGCCGGGCCAGCTCTTCCGCCCCCGCTTCTTGCCGCAGGGAATCTGGCTGCAGATGCGCGGTTTCGAGGAGTCGCCGATCTACCAGGAGGTCGCCAAGGTGCTGCTGCAGGGCGCCGAAGGCGCCGACGATGATGGCGAGGCCGAGGCGCGGGCAAGGAGCTTGCTCATGTTCAGGCACAGCGAGCAGGAGTTCACGCGGCAGAGCTCGGGGCCGCGCGCCGCGAACCGCTCGGGGTTCACCGCGACGCGCGCGCCGCGCCTCACCTCTGCGCTGTTGGAAGGCCAGGCGCTGCGCAAGGACGTCGCCATCGACTGCGCGAAGGACGAGGGCGCTGGTCGCGCGGGCATGTCGGACGAGCAGCGGTGGCTGCACCCCTACGTCATGTTCTCCCGCGCCACGCGCATGCGGGGCACGCTGATCCTTCGGCCGCCGCCGCGAGCGTTCCTGGAACGGGGGCCGCCGGCACCCCCGCGGCAAACGTTCCTGGAGTTCGACGCCGGAGCGGGGGGCTCCAGGGCAGGGGCGCAGCAGCTCGCGGTAGAGCTGGGCTCCGCGCCGCCCCCCGCCCGAGCGCGGCGGCGCCCCCCTCGGAGACCGCGGGTTTGTCCCGGCGGCAAGGTCTCGCGCCCCGGCGACTCGCGGGGTTGCCCCGACGGCCTGGCCCGCGGGGGTGCCCCCGACGGCTGCGCGATTTCGCCTTCGGAAAATGCGCCCCTGCCAGGCGCGGGGGCGAGGGCGCCGAGAAAATCTGCGCGCGAGCCCTTGAGCGCGCCGCCAGGGCTCACTGATAATGTCCAACGTTTCTGTTGGAGCCGTGGGTGCATCTGCGTGGCTCACGGTGGTGGGGCCTCCATGGTCTGCCGAACAGATGATGCAGATTTGCACCTGCACGCCCGCAGGAGGTCCATTGAATTAAAGTCGGCCAAGATGTTGCAGAAGGTGCGCCGCCAAGGCGGCGGATCGGTGGATTTGACGAAACAAGAGAATGCGGATATCATGGCGGAGGTCATGTGCGACAGAGAACTTCATTTACAAGCGTGTCGAGGATGCAAACTCACTGGTACGACGTTCGCCCTGGGCGGCTCGGAAAATCATATGATACGCAGAGAAGCAGACGATTTCTGGGATGAGTTGGGCACGCGAGCTCGTCTGGACTCTGCGGTGGCGGAAGTTTCGGAGAAGGGCGCTGCCGGCCTGTTACCGTGGACGTACCAAACACTTCAGTCACTCATCATGCGGTGCCCTAAACGGGGCCACCTGAATGAGATCAAAATCGGGCAAGAAGACGAAAACACGCCTGACCCAGGCGGCGCGCCTTGGGAAACGGACGAGGCTCGTCGAGAAGAAGAAGAAGAACGAGACGCGGAACTG